GTATCTTATATTATTAGATATGTTATTATAAAACATGCTTTAGTTAAGGAGTTATTGATACTTCAAGTGTAAAATAATCATATAAAACTTTGATAAAAATATACTTTTAAGTACTAATCAATACATCAATATAACCTCCCTTGAAATTATTTTTTTCCCTGACTGCAAAAGCAAGTTAACATTTTAAGAAATTCTAACATGGAACATGCCCTAGATGTCTTAAGAATATGATGAAAGAATTTTGGAGGATATGGATACATCCCGGTGGTAACACTTAAAAAAATAAATGCATTTTAAAATTATACTTATAAAATATTAAAATAGAAATAAATGAAAATTAAAAGAATAAGTTGATGGCATACCATAGAGTAAAAGCCTTCATGTTTCCATGCCTTACATATCTATGATAAATGTTTGAAAAATCTAAATAATATATATAGAGGTAATTATTTATTTATCAATATAATATTTACAACTAAAAAATTATTTTATACTAATGCAATGTTAAGACGACAATCAAACGGATAAAAGAAAAAAAAGATAATAATAAGCATTGTTTAAGGGTGTTTTTTTTTTGTATTGCAAAATCCTTACACCAATTTTTATTTATTGGTTTACTTATAGTTCAATAAGATGAAAATTCTCACATTAAATTTGTTTTTTTTTACCCGATCATCAAGAATATTTTTAAACATTGCCTGTACATTTACAATAATTAGAAAAAAAAAAGTCACAAAATCTTAATTATGAATCGATATGATATATTCATAAAATACATTGGTATTAATTTCAAGTTTGAACCTTTTTCTTACCAGTAAACAGGTATAATTATTATTAATCACATGATGCGTATACTCGTTAGTTTTTAGATAACTTGAAAAGTCATGGCTTTATGGATATAATTCTTAGGCCGTAGAGTTCAACTAGGAAATCAGTGGTGTACAAGTTTGCGGAATAGCACCAATAATCTGTAATTTATTTATTTTAACGATGACAACCATCTTTTCACGGCATCTAACTTGGATCAGATCATGAGAGGGAAGGCTATCTTGAAGGCTTATGATTTTCACAAGTTCTGGTTTTGTGTAGAATTACTAACATTAACATCAAGTCGACGCATAAATTTCAACAAGTTGGAAGTTATGCATTGGCTTGATGCTAACGTTAGTAATTCTCCAAGAAACCAGCTAGCTGCGAAACTTACTGGAAATGAGGATGCAGATAAGCATAATGAGTATCTCGTCCTTCCAACAATATATCTCGTCCTTCCAACAATGGTGGGTAGATCAAGAAAGTAACTCTTCGCTCATGTTAAAGAGACGGTGTGGAAAAAAACTGAAGACCTTAAAAGAAGCAGTTTTTGTCTAAAGCAGTTTTTGTCCTTCCAACAATGGTGGGTAGATCAAGAAAGTAACTCTTCGCTCATGCAGATAACCATAATGAGTATCTCTGATTGTTGAATTTAAAATCCCCTATTGTTTACCTAGTGATTCAAAATATTTATTGACCCTTGTAATGTCAGCTCATCTTAGGATGTGTAGAGTCGCATGATAATTGATTGATAAAAATATTGGTGACATCATTGGTTATAATGTTTGGTTATATTATTGGTGGAAAGATTGGTGATTTTCAGTTACATTTTAGTAAAAGATTAGCATTTGTGAGAAAAGAAGCGCATGCTTTGCATAGAATGTGGTACACCTTTTGTATGATGACTATTGACTAGAAATATGCACTTTATACTCTATTGTGCGTGGAACAAGCTATAATCTTACAGTTAACCATCCTTGATTTCTTGGCGAGGCCTATCTCTTAGTTCAGCGCATGTTGATGTCGAAGCTATGATGGTTCTCTCATGGCATATCCTTCTTTCTTTCTTTTTCTCCTTCTTCTCTTGATTTGCAAATGGGTCTTCGGTCTTTTTTTCTTTTAAGTTCAATTTAAGTTTGCCCTATCGGATTCTATTTAGATTACGTTCAAATTTACGAAATTGGAAGGAAAATGGGTTACGAAAGGAAAATTCCGGACGTTTCAGCAAGTGGCTTGCCTAAAATATATCCTTATTTGTAAAGTTTGGCCTCTCTAGTAAGATAGAATTTGAGTATGACCAAAATATCCTCATTGTAAAGAAGACCTTCAGATTTATTTAAATAGTATATTTTATAAAGATTCATTTTCTAAACCAAATTATTAATACCAATAACTAAATTTAAAAGGATGATAAAAAGAAGCTCTACTAAAGAAAGGTTTTTTAATTCTTTATTGTGGATCAAAGTTATTTTATGGTATTAAATGACCAAATCTAAACATTATATCATTAATAAAATTATTTTTTATATTAATATTTTTAGATATCCCTTTTAACAATTTAATATTATAATTTTTATAATTTATTGGGATAATTAATTAATAGCTAATAATAATAATTAATATAAGAAATACTTAAAGGGCTGTTAAAAAACATTGTAATATTATTATAAATTATGATTTTGGATTTTTTTAATGAAAAATATTTATAATCTTGACATATTTCTTTTTTTTTTCTTATGGGAAAAGCTCTCTTTTTTCCCCCCGTTCTCACCACATTATCAACAAATGAACAGATTCTCTAATTTTTCATTGAAAAAAAAGAAAAAACGAAACAAGAAAATGGAAAAGAATGGTTTTGTGTTACCATATAGGATTTGAAACAAGCAATGGAACCCTGTTCGGGGGCGAAAATACCAGTCCCAACTCGTATATAAGACTTTTTCCCAAACCTGCTATTCAACGTCCTTGCATGCATGAGCTTTCAGTCTTAGATTGACGAGAATATTGATGAAACGGATCTCCAAAAACTCATGAATGGTAGGTAGATCGATATCCATGGCGGACCCAGTAAACTCGTGTTCGCAACTCAGCATCAATTAGTTAGTTTTGATAGCATGATCGGTCAAGATGAGACAAACTGGAAGGAAGGGTCCTCCTATATTCACAATGCTAATTTTCAAAAAGTCAAAGAAATCTTATCGTCTTCCTTCGTGTCAATAGTCAAGGAGAACTCATCTTCAAGAAAAGGAGAAACGCATCTCCAAATGATCGCTCTCTCTTGCCACAGAACAATGAAAACGACCATAACGAACGCAGAGAGAGATCACAAAGTCAATAAAGTCGAAAAATCCAAACTGCGGCAGCTCAAGTTAAGGGTTTCTTATGTTCCTCAAGCTGCATGGCATCCTTTAAATTTCGTTAGATGACTTTTAGCTGGGTTTTTCCTTTTGCTTGGAAGTTTGATTGTAATTGTTTTGTGAAATATTTTTATAAAAATATTTTGAAATTTTGTGAAATATTTTTATAAAAATATTTAGAAATAATATTTTTTTTTAATTTTTTTAATTATTTTTAATATAAATATATTAAAATATATAAAAACATGAAATATTATTAATTTAAAATAATAAAAATAAAATATAATTCTATTTAAAAAATATTTTAAAATATAAAAATAAACAATTTTAATTTGTTTTACTAACAATATAATATTGAGGTGGTGTTTAAGATTACGATGATGTGTATTGTTTACATGTAAAATTATTTTTCAAAAAATATATTAAAATAATATATTTTATTTTTAATATTAATATATAAAGTTGATTTAAAATCATAAAAACATAATTAAAATAAATAATATTAATTAAAAAAAAACACAGCCTAACAAATTTTAATTTTCAAAGGTCGAGGAACACAAATTTTGAATTGAAGAATTAGCTTTTGACACTCAAGCAGTTATCATTGTGAACAGTACAATGACGTAGTATTAGCATCATTGAAAGTGAAGCTTATCACAAACTCATATATGTACCACCACCGCCTCAATATCCAAACTCCATTCCCACCACAAAATTTCTTTAAAGCTGAGTATTGTCTTCATCTTTTATCCAAGAAAACAAAATCTTATCCGCCGTACAGAAAGTATATCCTGGTGTCTTCCCACCAACCAACCATGACAGGTTCTTCGAGCTCCAAATTCGACGAGTTTCAATGGGTCAATACCATCCGTCGAACGCTCGAAAGGGAACTTGAAGACGATACTGATCAAATTCCGGTGTGCATTTTTACTGTCCCCAGAACCCTCATGTCTAGCCATCCCGACTTTTATACTCCACATCAACTTCCACTTGGTCCATACCATTATTGGCGTCCAGATCTAAGTGAGATGGAGAGCTACAAGCTTTCGGCAGTAAAAAAACTCCAAAATCAATTTCAAAGCAACGACTTTCAGAATCTTGTCGAGCAATTGGTAAAGCTTGAACCAAAGATTCGGGCATGCTACCATAAGTACTTAAATCTCAATGCTGAAACACTAGCATGGATGATGGCTTTGGATGCTTCGTTTTTACTCGAGTTTCTTCAAATTTATTCCGTCAAAGAAAATGAAGTTTTATCGAGGATTTCCTCAAGGATGACACATTTGCTTGATTATTCAAAGAGCAAATCGGCACATTATGTAATTCTCCGGGATATAGTGATGATGGAGAATCAAATTCCATTATTTGTATTGAGAAAGGTGCTTAAGTTTCTACTCATGTCAGCAGAATCAGCTGATGAAATGCTGATTTCCATGTTACTAGGGTTATGTAAAGAGCTCTCTCCTTTCAAGACGGTAGAGTTGGAGAAGACTAAATTCTTGGAGCATTCCCACTTGCTAGACTCTTTGTATGACATTATGGTGCCCAGAGTGGAAGAACTACCTATTGAGATAACAATTGAAGATGTTGAAGAAAATCGTTCTGAAACAGAGCAAGAAAACGAAGGATCTGGAATTGAGTTGAATCTTGTGAAAAGTTTTTTGAGCGAGCTCTGGAATACGGTTTCTGAACTAAACATAGGCCCAATGCGTTTCCTCAAGAACGCTTCAGCATCAATGACAAGCAAATTAGGATTTTACTGGACAATACTAAATAAACTTCTGAATCTATCAGCCTCAAATTGTGTCAGTGAGCCAGAAAATGAGAGGGTCAGAAATAACCAGCAGCTGCCACCTTTGGTAGAAGAGATCGCAATTCCTTCTGTCACTCAGCTCTCTAATACTGGTGTCCGTTTTTTACCTACCAAGGGTAACATCTCCACCATTAACTTCGACACGGAGACAGCTGCATTTTACGTCCCCATTATTAGTTTAGATGCAAACAGTGAGTTTATATTTAGAAACTTAGTGGCATATGAAATATCGCATGCCTCAGGACCCATGATTTTTGTTCGGTACATTGAATTGATGAATGGGATTATTGACACCGAGGAAGATGTAAGATTGCTTAGAGAGAGAGGCATTATTTTCAACCACTTGAAGAGTGATCAAGAGGTGGCAAACCTATGGAATGGGATGAGCAGGTGCAAGTCCATTAGGCTGACAAAAGCTCCGTTCGTAGATAAGGTGATTGAAGATGTTAACAAGTATTACAACAGCCGATGGAAGGTCAAGATAGGAAAATTTATGAAGCACTCTGTGTTTTGTTCATGGAAGTATCTCACAATGCTCGCTTCCATTCTGCTCTTGCTCTTAATGGCTGTGGAATCATTTTGCTCAGTTTATAAATGCATTAGAATAATATAACGCATTTATGCTGCTGTTTTCTGAAGTATCGTTCAATGTTACGTCGATGGTACATATCTTGCTCAGTCTCTATTATTTATTTAATTTTTTATTTTTGTAATGAATTTCGACTGTTTATTTTACTACAACATTATTTTTACTATATAATTATTGTATAAATAAATATTTTCAGTGTAATGGGGGAGGACTGCCCCACGTTGTGTGGTCCAATAACTCTATTCATAGCACAATTAATGAATAAAACAAATTCATAAATTACATTATAATCACATTCTATTTGTTTTCTAAAACTTAAACAAGGACATGATTGAACTCTGTGAAAACATTTACGCATGTCCAAAGGGACTATATTGCTAGGAATATTTGGCAAAGTTAAATAGTAGGGATCTGAATTCAATACTGATGAAATTGTTTCTTCAATAGATTACGTTGAATTTTTCTAATTAAATATACCTTTATAGTGTTCACCAATAAACACCAATAAAAGTATTTTATTAATATATATCAAGAAAATTACAGTAAAAAAATAATAAATAAAAAAATATAATGACATATTATTTTTATAAACAAAATTATTGATAGATTTAAATTCATTAGTTAAATTAATCGATAAGTTCGTCTACAATATATAATATATGACTTGACTAGTGACCCTTATCTCTTCCTCTCCCATTTCTTCTTCTTCCTATATTTTTTTTACAACAAACATCACACACACCCCTAAAAAAAATTACAAATCAACCCCCCATTACAAATCCAATCACCCTAACATTCAGTTTGCCAACATCTTTATTCTTAATCAAATTTTAATGAGGATTCTCCACTTCAAGTAAATAAAATTATTCATTTTTTATTTGAACTCAATTTTAAAATATTAATTTTTTTAATATATTTTTGTAGTATATATATTTTATTTGGGTGTTTATTTTTTTATAGCTTTTTCTCATAGAAATTTGTTGTATAAATATATGATTTGTATATGTTAGGGTTTTTTTGCGATTTTATAAAATTATATTTATTTGTGAATTGATGAAATTTATTTTGAATTTATGACTTAGGTGTTTTATGATGAAATAAATAATAACTTATTTAATGAGTCTTTTTTATATTTTGTCAATTTTATTGTTGAGTTGAAATTTTTGATAAATGTATAGAAATTTAAATTTATATAAATAATCAATAATGAATTAGTTGTACTATTAAAATAGTTTGAATAAGTTTGATTTGAACCTATATTTGCAAATTTATTTAGTCTAAATAATTAATTAATACATGTTGTCATCAATATATTTTAAAGGTTTGATATAAGTTATGGATGATCATTCATAGATATATCAAGATTCACTAAAAGGATTAAGTAGAATTAGATTATTATAATAGAATTCAAGATTTTATTAATTATGTATTATCTAATCCTAGAAATATTAGTGGAGCTCATATTAGATATCCATTTAAGAGGTGTAAAAATAAAAATAAAAAAATTATCTAAATATTGTAATGATGCATCTTCTATAAAAAACAGTTCATTAAGAAATACATATGTTGATTTGTACATGGAAAACCATATATTCCTCACGAGACCATAGTAGAAAGGATGGTTGGATCAATTTCTAGTTCTAGCAATGTACATGATGTTGTAGATGATAATACTAATCCTTATAAGGATATGATTATGGATGCAATGAGAATAAATAAGAGTTATTCCAATCAATGTCCGGTCATAGATGAAGAACCTAATGTAAATGCGGCTAGGTTTTTTAATCTTTTGAAAGACTCTAATGGATTATTATTGGATGGATGCATAAATCATAGTAAATTATCAGTCGTTGCATAGATATTCATCATCAAGTCAAATCATAGGTTGAGTGAGGCAAATTCTAACAAAATTGTCAAATAGGTGAGAAGTATTTTACCTAAAGGTAATAGGCCGAAAGAGAACTTTTATATTGCTAAATCCATGATGAATCCCCTTAACCTCGGATACTAGAAAATTAACGTGTGTTCAAACTTCTACATTATGTACTAACTTAAAAATACAAAGTTAATCTAGTGTAGAATAGATAGGCATACTCATTATAAACCCAAAATTAGTAGGGAAAGGATTCTTGTTGTATATAGAAAACTTAGATGCTTCTTAATTGCACATAAACTGTATAGGTTATTCATATCATCAAAGACTACTTAGCACATAACATAGCATCATTCATATTATATAATGGATGGAGTGATGATGCACTCTTCTGATGGTGAAACCTACATAAATTTTAATAGGGCACATCTTTAGTTTTCAATAGAATCAAGAAATTTGCATTTTAAATTATGTACAAACAGATTCAATCCATTTAGGTCATTTGCTACTTCTTATTCTTGTTAGCTGGTGATAATCATGGTTTATAACTTACCATTAGAGAGATGTATAAGTCTGGAGTTCTTGTTTTTTTCTACGGTCATACTTAATCCTAATAGACCGGGTCAAAAAATAGATGTTTGTCACCATCCGTTGATTAATGAGTTGAAGCAGTTGTTGTAATCTAGGGCTTTGACATATGATGTACCAAGAAAATAAAACTTTTAAATGAAGATAATTTTAATATGGACTATTAATGATTTGTTTAATATGAAATGGTTTCTAATTGAAACATGCATGAAAAACTAGCATATCCATAATTTATGAAAAATAAAAAGGCTTTCACATTAATAAGTGGCGATAAAGTGTCTTTTCTTTTCACTACTAATTTTTATTAATAGATCACAAGTATAGAAAGAATATAAAGAATTTCTTTATTGGATGAGTTGAAAGGAATGTTGCACCTCAGCTATTATCAGGTGAAGAGTTATATGATGTGATGTAAGAGTATGATGACATTGTGTTGGGTTTTTAATCTGGTATGTAGAAGTTTTCTCGTTTTGGTTTAACCCACAATTAGGTAAAGAAAATTATTTTATATAAAAATTTTTATTAGAAGATCAATCTCCTCCGCTATAACCTTAATGCAATCCATGTTGAAAAGAATGTGTTTGGAAAAAAAATAACACGATTATGGATGTGAAAGAAAAGATAAAGAACAACATTAGGGCTAATATATATATATTTTTCTTTTGTCACTGTAAAATACATGGAATTGGTTTATGATGGGTTATAGGTTGTAAAGCTCAAAGCTAGTTTCACCTTAAACAAGAATGCATGGTTACCTATCAACTAATGGCTTAAGAGTCTGCATTTTTCTAATAGACATGCTTCAAACATATCAAGGTTGATGAATTTAAAAGATTACAGATTATATAGAATGAAGAGTCATGACTGCCACGTGTTTATACAAACACTGATTTTCCTAAATTATTGTGATATATTATTAAAAGAGATATGAGATACACTCATGGAGATCAATCACAACTTTAGAAATATATGCTCCAATAAGTTGCAGACACAACAAATAGTGAGGTTTGAAACAAATGTCGTCTAAACAATTTGCAAACTTGAGATGATATTCTTTTCATCGTTCTTTGACTCAATGGAGCATCTACCTATATATCTATAGTTTAAGGCAAAAGTTAAAGACCTAATCCAATATAGATCAATATATCAATTTGAGAGTTTAGGGATTACATATGCATTGTAATTAAAATTATATTGTCTTTAAAAAAAAATCAAAACATTCATTTCATTGCAATATAAGTAAAGGGTATCTCTAATGGATTAGGTCCATTAGTATATTTCAAAGAGTAATGGAACTATTTACATCTCCATGGCATTGTTCATTATGTTCAATTTATATGGTGTCACTAACTAATTAAGTCTTTCGATGGCATTGTTCATTATGTTCAATTTATAAGGTGTCACTAACTAATTAAGTCTTTTGATATATTCAAGATATATTCAAGTAAACAATTGAACTCCTAACTTTTCAATGTTACTTGTAATTATTTTTCATTATATGCGAATTCACTTATAGAATGAAAACTCATTGATGATGTATAAGGGCATTTCTAAAAATTTCAATACAATTGAAAATTTTAATTAGATTTTATAGACATATTAACATGCGAAAATATTAAAAATATTGATATTTAATTATTTCATTGGTAAGTCATTGATAAAACAATTGGTAAAAAACCTTAAATTAAAAAACTAGAATTTCTAAAATAACCATAGACATGTTTGTCTCTTCTCTTCTCTTCTCTTCCTCTACGTACTTTTTTTCTTTTCTTTTCTCTTCTCTCTCTCGTTCTCACCTCTTAGAGTCTTCTCTTCTCCTTTTCTTTTCTTTTCTCATATTTCTTTTTTTTTTTTGTTAATTAACATCTCACTCCTCTTTTTTTCTTTTTGTTTTCTCTTCTCAACATAAATTCACAACAAAATTAAGGTTAGAATTCTTATCTTATTTTTTTGCATTATGTTTTTAATTTTTTTTCTTAATAATTGTATGAATGTTGTTGTTGGAATTTGTTTCATATGAGAACACTTTTATTGAATTTTAGTAGTTTTATTTTTTAATTTTTTTGTTCAATTTCAAATAATATAAATGATTAATTTTTTTTTAAATTAGGGTTAAATATATTGTTTAATTTAGTGATTAATTTTGTGTTTGTAGAATTTATGGTTTAGGGTTTTAAGTTGTTGAAAATGAAGGGTTAATTGATATAATTTTGAGTTGTTATAAATTAAGGGTTTATGAAAATTTTGATTTATATGCCAAATTAGGTTGACTTTGATGTTTTGAATAGTGATTAGAATTGCATAAGTTGCCTATGAATGTTAAAATGTGGAATTATGAAAAATAAGTCAATAATATTATACGAGAGAGAAAACAAGACACTTTAACTATTTAATTTCATAAATTAAGCAAATTGTTAGAGAAAAC